TCGACTTTTAATCTCGAAATGTTTCGACTTTTAATCTCGAAATGCTAGATTATAATTTTTTTTTACAGATTTTTTTTTTTTGCGTTGCGGTTCAGGGCTTCCGTACAAACCAGATCAACTGCAGAAACGAAATAAAGTGCATAACTGAAAAATAAAGCATCTTAGGCTCAAAACTAACACTAACAGTCGGCACAGCGCAATTGCGCATTATAGGTTCCAAATAAAAAAGTTAGGTTATCACACTAAAACACTGAAATATGGCAATTCTGATATGTTCATATAGCCTACTCCAAACAGACAGGGCAAGCTAACGCAGGCCGGTGAGCTTACCGCTTTTAGATGATATGTCATGTTTGTCGTCGAGCTGTGGAAAACTGTTGCATGCACACTTGCATTCGACCTTTTTCCCGTTATCAATTTTAACAAAATGCTGCCACAGTGTCGATGTCTTTGTTGTTGACATGTTAGAAGAGGACTGACTATTAAACGCTCTCACAATTATATAAATAATATTCAGCATCAAACCTTCTATAGCCTACTTATCGTTCTCTCTTGGGTTGGGCTAATCCAAAAAAGGTGAAAACAAGGGGGGTGTTCTGAAGACACAAGTTACCTGTGAAAAAATCGACCAATCAGAATTTTGGTCGAACCAGAACGTATCGACCAATTAATCGACTGGGACAGTACAGCCCTAGAAATATGAGGCAGGCTTGTTTTGTGGGATGGTGATTTTCCAGTAACCGGTCATTGAAGTGCCTGTTGAAGCGGATCAGCTGCTGAAGTGTGTGTGTGTGTGTGTGTTTCAGGGTCTCACTCATCTGGGTAAAGGCACACTGACGCTCTGCCCGTATCACAGCGACCGGCAGCTCATGAGTCAGGTGGCCGTCGCTGGGCTCCTCACGGTCCTCGTGTCATTCCTGGACGTCAAAAACAGTAAGAGCGTCATTTTCAACATCTAGAACCACATCAATACAATTCCTGTGATGTCTGTCTAATGCACCTGTGATTTCTCGTCTCCCTCCTGCAGTAATCTTGGGAAAGTCTCATTACGTTCTCTATGGGTTGGTGGCGGCGATGCAGCCTCGCATGTTGGTCACATTCGACGAGGAGCTCAGACCTCTGCCAGTGTCCGTCCGAGTGGGACAGGTGTGTGTGTGTGTGTGTGTGTGTCCCTCTGTTTGAAGGGGCTTGTCTGCTGTGAGACTTCAGTGTAAACGCCCACTACTGTGATTGGCTTAAATTTTGCAAATGAAATGAGCATTACATGTGGAACTCTCTCGAAAATATTTACTTCGTTTTTACTATTACAGTTGTCAAGATTAACTAATCGTGAAAAGTGTTGATTATAGCATTATATTTAGATGTATAGCATTATATTTAGATGTATAGCATTATATTTAGATCTGTAGCATCTTATTGAAATCTATAGCATTATATTTAGATGTATAGCATCATATTTAGATCTATAACATTATATTTAAATCTATAGCATTATATTTAGATGTATAGCATTATATTTAAATATATTGCTATTTAGACTATAGCATTATATTTAGATGTATAGCATTATATTTAGATGTATAGCATTATATTAAGATGTATAGCATCATATTTAGATGTATAGCATCATATTTAGATCTATAACATTATATTGAAATCTATTGCTATTTAGACTATAGCATTATATTTAGATGTATAGCATTATATTTAGATGTATAGCATTATATTTAGATGTATAGCATTATATTTAGATGTATAGCATTATATTTAGATGTATAGCATTATATTTAGATCTATAACATTATATTTAGTTCCATAGTATTATATTTAGATCTATAGCATCTTATTGAAATCTATAGCATTATATTTAGATGTATAGCATTATATTGAAATCTATAGCATTATATTGAAATCTATTGCTATTTAGCTCTATAGTATTATATTTAGATGTATAGCATTATATTTAGATGTATAGCATTATATTTAGATCTATAATATTATATTGCATTATATTTAGATCTATGGCATTATATTTAGATCTATAGTATCATATTGAAATATATAGCATTATATTTAGATCTATAGTATCATATTGAAATATATAGCATTATATTTAGATCTATAGCATCATATTGAAATCTAGCATTATATTTAGATCTATAGCATCATATTGAAATATATAGCATTATATTTAGATCTATGGCATCATATTGAAATCTATAGTATTATATTTAGATCTATAGCATCATATTGAAATCTATAGCATTATATTTATACCTATGGCATTATATTTAGATCTATTGTATCATATTGAAATATATAGCATTATATTTAGATCTATAGCATCATATTGAAATCTAGCATTATATTTAGATCTATAGTATCATATTGAAATATATAGCATTATATTTAGATCTATAGGATCATATTGAAATCTAGCATTATATTTAGATCTATAGCATCATATTGAAATATATAGCATTATATTTAGATCTATAGCATCATATTGAAATCTAGCATTATATTTAGATCTATAGTATCATATTGAAATATATAGCATTATATTTAGATCTATTGGATCATATTGAAATCTAGCATTATATTTAGATCTATAGCATCATATTGAAATATATAGCATTATATTTAGATCTATAGCATCATATTGAAATCTAGCATTATATTTAGATCTATAGTATCATATTGAAATATATAGCATTATATTTAGATCTATAGCATCATATTGAAATCTAGCATTATATTTAGATCTATAGCATCATATTGAAATATATAGCATTATATTTAGATCTATGGCATCATATTAAAAATCTATAGCATTATATTTAGATCTATAGCATTATATTGAAATCTATAGCATCATATTGAAAACTATAGCATTATATTTAGATCTATAGCATCATATTGAAATCTATAGCATTATATTTATACCTATGGCATTATATTTAGATCTATAGCATCATATTGAAATCTATAGCATTATATTTATACCTATAGCATTATATTTAGATCTATAGCATCATATTGAAATCTATAGCATTATATTTATACCTATAGCATTATATTTCGATCGTGGCTTGAAAGGTTGCATGTAGCCGATCACAGACATGATCTCATCATTGCAACTCGATTTCTGCACACTAACGAATGCTTTCATCATAACTAGCAGTGCAAACGCAATGTAAATAAGAGATTTGTTGATTATTACGGGAGTTTTGGCGAAAGTCCAGAACTCAAGTCACTGATAAACTTGTGCTGTTTGATTGACAGCTCCAGTGATTATAAAGGGAGCGTTCTTTGATCACTTTCTATATATAATTTAATCACAGTTTAAATAACTGATTATTTCATGCTACTAAAGAGAAACGATGGTTTGATTTACTGATGCATAAACGGCAATAAACGTTTTTGAGACACAGAACATCTGACTGTACATGAATCGTATCAGAAATCACAGATCAGGCATTAGAACGAACACGCTTTCTTACAAATTGTGGCATTACTGTCGGGTCCATGTGTCTTTTTCCAAAGCCTGCGCCGAAATTGTGACTGATTTACCAAAGAATCCACAGTGAAATGTGCCAAATACAAACAAATAATGCTCTACTGAGACATTCACATTGTTGAAAATAAATAGCTTTAGGATCTTTTGGAAGGTAATGTTATTTTTAGTCCAGCGATCCTGCATCTCTCATCTCACTAACGCACCAGTGGGCGGGGCTAAAGATGAGATTATGTAGAAGTGGGCGTCGGCCTTTCATCCCACTATGACGTCATAATGTGACAATTCCAAACGAGTCGTTTTCAATAAAAGCTGTTTTTGGAGTAGAACTCACTGGATGTTTTTATAGTAAAGTGAACCTCTTACATGTCAAATAGCTTGATTTCTCAATTCGTGACCGTTTTAAAATGATATCAATAGTGCAAAATGAAATGGTGAATGATGTGATGATTCTTTCTGTGTGTGTCCAGGCTGTGGATGTGGTTGGTCAGGCCGGTAAACCCAAAGCCATCACGGGCTTCCAGACTCACACCACGCCGGTGCTTCTGGCTCACGGCGAGCGAGCCGAACTCGCCACAGAGGAGTTCCTCCCTGTCACGCCCATCCTGGAGGGCTTCGTCATCCTGCGCAAAAACCCCAACTACGACGTGTAGACACGCCGACAGAAGCGCACACTAACCGGGACCTCTGATCGTATTTAAAGGCACCTCGTCCTCCTCCCCTTCTGTCTCTCGGTCTTTCTCTCCCATGGGAAAACTGTGACGATTCCTCACACTCTCCGTATCCTCATTTTGTAATTAAAACAAGAAATGAGTGTGTTTATCATCCTGCTTAAACATGTTTTGTTGTTTTTTGTTACTTGTTCTGTAAAAGGTTGAGATACAAAAATAAAAGAATTGTGGTCAAATGTTGCTGTGTCACTCACTGTAAATGTTTTATTTAAAAAAAATTCTTATTCCAATCCTTACTGATATATCTACAATTTTTTTTCAAACTACACCATAGCTAATTAATATTTATAAGCCAGTATCTGGCAATAGTGACATTTGTAGTGTTTGCACTTTTGCACTCATTTGCACAATCACACATCTACCAAAACAATATTTTCAGATGTTATTGATATAATGCCATCCACTTATTAATAATGAACCAATATAGCAGCAGTTTCACGCATTGCTACTTGTTAGAATGAGTAAAGGGGAATTTATAGATGGTCACCGGGAGGCGCTGTACTAAAAGGCCACGCCTCTGTGAGCCTCGACCAATCAGCGTTCACCAATCCTACTATGGCAAGTGCTCATGAATATTAATGAGGCCATGCTGACGTTGCAAAGTGAACTTTCTGCTGGGAGCCTGCGGAGAAAGCGAAGTTCATGAATATTAACGAGCTTAACTTATTTGTTTCAGTCCTTTCACGACACCGAATTAATATTCATGAATTAAAACTCTGTCACGTGGTCGGGATTCCCTATTGTCACCGATCCGGAAGTTCCCGAGTCGCCGGTTTCCGCCGGAAAAGGTTCCGTCCGGTCCAGACGGGTCTGTCTCTCTTTCTGGCTTTTTTTTCGGTTTGGTATCACTCAACTGATCCGATACAGAACCGGACCGGCACCGAAGATACACGATAAACTCCTGTCAGGTAAGAAACAGGGGCACGCGAGACCTTACCGGCGTTGACGCGTGCGTGCGTGTGCGTGCGCGTGAGTGTGTGTGTGTGTGACACCAGTACTGTAAAATTCACTGAAAATACCATGATCATCATTATTATTTAAATAATTTAAATCAAGATCATTTTTATCAGTTTTAGTTGATATAATCACCCTGGTTCTCACTGTGTGCTGTAATTGTGTGTACATGATATCAATCGCATGGAGGGTTTGTGATTTTACACCATATTGTGAGTGTTTCCATCTGCAGTGAATATTTTCTGCCAATTAATTTGGTTTAGTCAGATGATCAGAAATGTGCAGAGATTATAAACAGAGGTATGTCATCAAAACAAGCTATTAGCTGCAGATCATCAGGGGATTTGTTCCTGGTGAACTGATTTTAAACATGATTTCAGCAGTTTTGGTATTCATTTTATAGGTGTGTCTGCTCAAACACCCTTGCATCTGCATAGCAACATACTAACATGCATTTAAAACAGCTTAGAAACCACATTGAAATATGCAAACTGGCTTTTGCACAGACAAGCATCACGTTTCCTAAATGAAAAGTCAGGTGCTTTGGCCTGTCAATAGTCTGGGTTGATTTCTAATGGCATTAAACAATGACACAACTCGGTCGATCATCTCTGCTCCTGGTTTGGAACACAGATTAATATTTCACTAACCTACATTTCACAGATTAGACTAACTGTCCTTATGTGAGGCCATGTTTATTTGTCAGTAACCTAAACACTGCAGTAATGATGAAATCTGTCAGTATGAAATCCACGTGATGTCTTAAGTGTGATTGTGTTAATATTTTAAACATTTGTTTTGTTTTTGGGGTGTCTGACCCCACAACATCCAAAGAAACGCTATATATAATATTATTAATATTTGTATTTTTTTATTCCCTGTATTTTCATCCGGCATTGATAAAAAAAAAAAAAAAAAAAAGTAAATAGAGTTCAGAATGTATAAAACAAAGAATAACAACTAAAATATCTAATGAGGCATTGATTAATGATTCGTTGTTTGAGCCACGCCCATAATTATTCATAATTACGCGAAGTCACGTAATTATTCATGAGATTACGCAACGACATTGGCCGCGTGTGTACAGTTAATGTATTAATATAAAGTGTTTAGTTGTGTCATTAGTGTATGGGTTAATTGAGCCCAATTGACCAGAATCTGTAATTAAGTTGTTGTGTCAGTTAAGTGTTGAATCATGATGATACGCCGGTACTGGAGCGCCCGACTGCGCATGCGCGCGCGATCCACGTGCTTTGTTCCGGCAGGCGCATGCGCACGCATGAGCGAACATGGCGACGCGCTGCATGTCTCGCGTTACCGGACAGTGAATCACACCGAGAGAGAAAGAGAAACGGTAAAGATCCGTGGTCTGTTTGTGTGTCAAATGAGCGATTTTATATGAACGCGCGCATGTGTATGTGTATGTGTGTGTGTTCAGTTGATGTGTTTGTGCGTTACGCGCGTAACTACGCAGTAAGTTACTCAATCTGGCCCTAAGAAGTGATCAATACGTGTGTGTGTGTGTGTGTGTGTGTGTGTGGTGACAGGTGTCTTGTGAACTGCTTGGATTTCATTAAAGCGTGTTATGACCATGCTTTAACATGTTCCCTGATAAAGCAGTGTGTTTTGGATCATGGCAGTCATTTGACATTCAATATACGTCATGATTATGGTTATCCATGATATATTTGTGTTTTTGGTTGATGTATTTTAATATAAAAATGCTTTTGGACAGGCTCCATGTTTTTCTGAGAGTACCATGGTAAGATAATTCCAGTATCATTGCAGTAAAGTACCCTCTCTTTACTATAGTACTGCCACAGTATTTTCAGTAATCCTTACATTTTACTTGCGTTAATGTTATTCATTTTATGGTATATATTAAAGGAACATGCTGTATTTTGGATGTGTAACTAGGTAAAATATAGGTCATCTTAGTGACAGAGGCAGTACCATGGTAATGAAATGTACGTATCATTATAATTAAAAGATACTTGCATGGTAGTACTATGGTATAAGCACCACAAATCATGATATATATGACAAGAAATATGGTACAAAGTGCATAAAGCCATGTTAGCTTTCGGTATTGTGTTGTAAGTTATATAAGCACCATGATATATGAAGTGACATGGTATTTAGTCTAGTCAGTAGTTACTAGATAACTACTGGTAATTGCTGCAATCTGTTTAAAATGTTTAATTCATTTGAATGTATTTAAAAATATGGGTTTGAATGAGTTATTTTTTTTGAAGAGGCAAGTGAAAGAGATTTCTACTTGCCAAACCGGACAAGTATCCTGATTAAAACATTAATAACAAAAAAAAATATTGTTATTGAAAATAAGTGGTCATCGGTAGTGGATAATAATGTATAATGTACTGACGGTAACAGGGTTGCACCGTTGAGGCTCTCGAGGAGAAAACAAATGAGTGCAACACACACAGAAACTCAGTTCACACACTGCAGAGATAAGTCACTTATATTTTAGACACAATATTGACTGTTTTTGTTGTTTCGGCAGTGAAAATAGTTCAAAACAACAGTCAAAGATTCATAAACTTGTTGAATGAATCAGTCATTTTAACGAATTGACTCAATGACTCACTCATTAAGACTTACTGTTGGTTTAATGTACTGTTTTTCTTATTTGTAACAATATTTTATGCAGTTAACAATTTTCAGTGTAGCTGATTTTAATTGTGATTGTTGAAACCCCTTTAGTGTGATATTAATCTAATTTAAAAAAAAAATTAATCAAAATTAAGAATTTGAAATGAAAGATGAAGCATTCATTTAATATGATTAGGGGGGAAAAAAAACATTTCAAATGTAACAAAAAAAGTCCTCTGGGTAAAATATCACAACAAATATGCAGATTTAAATGGCAAAGCTGATTGAACACTAATGAGAATATTGCTTCAGAATAAATATATATAAAGAAATCCGGACAAGCAACTTTATTACTTGAACAAGTGAATGACCGACTGGGTGAATCAGCGTTTTTGAGCGAATCTTTGTACTGTATTGTCCTTTACAGTAAGCATTTCTCACTCAGTTAATCATTTGTGTTTCTAATTAGTTTAAGTGTGAGTTTATTGCATTTAAATGATATTCTAATGAAGTCGCGTGTGTTTGACAGACGTCAGTGAGACGACACCAGGCCATGTGTGTGCTCGCGTTATCTGATTGAGTGTGTGTAGTTTCTCCTTTAAGAGCGAGCTCATGTCTTCTGATGTGTGTGTGACGTGATGTTCTCTCGAACTGGCCCTGCGTCGAGCCTCTGGGTCAAAGTTCACGGTGAAAGAGCCGTGGATCTTTACAGTGACGGATGGAGTGTGTGTGAGGCGTTAGTCACTGGTGCATGACTGTCGCATCACTGAAGCCGTCTCACACACTGCAGTGTATCCAATAGCAACACACTCCAAAGGTCTCGTATGAGTCTCGTCTTCAATCTCTCAGAGGACAGAGTGTGTTTGACGAAGTTTCAGCGCTAGTTTGTGTCATCAATGTTTAATGACATCATCAGTTTAATGTTGTTTGTTGTGGTCAAGTGGAGGATTGCTTAGATATTATAATAGTGGAAATACTGCAGGTGTTTCGAGCCAATCAAAACATGAATGCCAAGCTAGTCTAAACTGTGACGTCACGATGGCAAACAGTGGAAAATAAGAAAAACATCAATGTAATGTAATATTTGTGGTGTTATTAATTCCGTTGCTTGTTAAAAAATACATTTGAATGACCATCAATGGAGAAAGATGCTTTTTGCCCTTGTAAAGTTCTTGTTTATTATTATAAAGTATTCATTCGTCTAGGTCATTAGTTTTTTTTTTAATTCATGTTTCCTGGTGATCTTGAATCAGAATAACTTCCTCTCTTCTCTGATGACGAGGGCGGGGCAACAACCTGTCACTCACATGAGATCCACCAATAGCAAACGTGCGCACTGTTGACGTTGACAGCAGCGCGGATTGATAGAAATGGATAGAAAATAGTGCCGATTAAAACTGAGGTATGAATTTTGACCGGCGTGTTTTTTGTGTGGTAAATTAATCAAGCTTTGAAACGCAAATCATTTTTCACGTAAAAACGCACAGTTTTGCGACCTCGGAAAATAACCAGGAGTACTTTATTGAAAAACTTCCAGCGGCCAGACCTCTGACCAGGGAGGTGACACCGGAGTGGGTCAGTGTGTATGCACTATAGTGCTGGTAAGGATTGCATACAACTTCATGTCTTAAATGGGCGAACTAACCCTTTAAAAAGTATATACATTTTTATTTTCTTTAGAAAATGAGCGATGGTTTCGCTAGATAAGACCCTGTTCCTCAGCTGGGGTCGTGCAGAGCCCTTTGAAACTGCATTGATTTGGACTCTATTTGGTTACCATTGAAGTCCATTGTGTGGAGAAAAATCCTGAAATGTTTTCCTCAAAAAACGTCATTTCTTTTCCACTGAAGAAAGAAAGACTTGAACATCTTGGATGGCATTGAGGCGAGTAAATCATCAGGAAATGTTCATTTTGAGGTGAACTACTCCTTTAAATAAACTACGCTGACTAAATAAAAAGAAATACAGTGGATGGCGATCACTTAGGGCTGGGCGATATGGCCCAAAAAAATTATCACGATATTTTTTTTTATATCAGTCGATATCGATAATTATCACGATAAATGTCAAATCTTTATTTCTTTCAAGTTTAAAGGCAGATTTTTGCTCCTAAGTGAAAGTTGTAGAAACCAGAGCGTTAATTGTGGTTTTAAACTACTCTTTATTGTCAGAACATATCATGACAAACACTTGCCAAACAGGTGAACATTTCACAAATCTGAGGTAGAACATTCAAACATTTGTCATTTTTCCTTAACAAAATTAATATCTGAATAGAAAAATATCTCTTGAGCAGTTTGCAGTGCAGGCTGCAATATTCAAATTACATGTTTTGTCTCGA